ATCTCAACTCAATGTGTATTTCAACGAATTTCAAAAAGCATCAAAACTCCATTTATTCAAGCATTTCATCACTTCTCAAACTTTCAACTAGGCAACTAACCATTGCATGCTTAATAAATATTCGAACACATTTAATTCAATATAATCATATATATATATATATATATAAAATTTAAATTAATGATAGCAAATTGACATGCAATCATGTGTTCATACTAATTAAATGGATCAACCGAATTATTGCAATGTGCAAGCTTAAAACACAATGTTTGTGCACATGTCTAAAGTCTTTCTCCAAACTACTCTTCAAACAACAACAATAACCCATCTGTACCATGTAAACAACCTTTTCAACTATTCAATTCAAAACATAGTTTCCAAGTAATCGTAAACAGTAAACTTAAGGATGATATGCAAGCTTAGAAAATTAAAGAAATCTAATAATGCTATTATCTCGAAAACATATATATATATATATATCTTCCTTTAATAGCAAAAACATACATGTTTAACAACATATTTTATGCAAAACACAGGGGTGAAAATGCAAACTAATAAACATGTTCAAAAACTGACATTTAAACTCATTTTCATTTTTCCTTCAACACCACATTTCAACACCAACACCCATCACCACCCATGAAGTCAACATTTCCAAATTTTAATCTATTTTCCAAAATTAAGGCAAATCCACCAATGGTACATCGAAATCAACATGATGGAGAAGTGATTTAAATAAATAAACCAAGGAAAATTCACATGTAATTTTTTGAGGGTAGTTACCAAAATCAATCAAATATGGCAACATACAAAGCAAGATTTAGCAAATATCACACTTAACACTATATTGCACCAAAACGTTATAATAGCAATCAGCAACCTGACATGCAAACAGGAATTTAGTTTATTTTTTTTTAAAGGACTTTTCGGCTAATTCACTCACATTGGCTCAACCGAAATGGAAGGGTAAATTCACCAAATAATCACACTTAACACAAAAATTACTTCAATCATTGAAATAGCATTATAAAATTTAACATGCAGAGGCTTTAATTTAAGTTTGAAAAGAATACTGGTTGAATCCCACTCACTATTTTTAGCTCAACCGAAACTTTGAAAGGAAATCTCAAGCACTCTCTTCCTCCACACCCGAAATAAAAAATGGTGGGATCTACTTCAATATCTCAAGATTCTCATCCTCCATTTTTGCTTCACTCTTCCTTTCTCACTCTATCTCTAGACCAAAACACCTCTTTCTTCTGTTCTTTTCTTTTTTTTCCGCTCTTCTTCCTACTTTTCTCTCTCCTTCTCTCTCCTGTTTGGGGCTTCTTCTTCTTCTTCATTTGGGCGAACAACCAAGTAAATTTTTTTTTTTTTTTTTTTTTTTTTTTTTTTTGTTTATAAAAGTTTTTCTGAAATGATAAATCTGCCTCCAAATTCTCTTAATTCTAGTCTAAGCCCGCCACATAAGCTTCTTCTTACAAAAGTGTCCATATTTTTCCCTCTTGATACATGCAAACCCATCAGAATTTATTTCTTTTGTTTTTCCCCTTAATGCAAACTTTTGCAAACTGACAGAAATGACCTTTCTTACAACAATACCGTAAAATCAAATAGAAAAAATAAAAAATAAATTCATGATATACTAAATTAGAAATGGGGTTTTACATGAGTTATTCTTGTATATTAAAGCCCTTTTTGGTAAATAATATGAGAAACTCTTTACTTTCTTAACTAAACAGCTATAGAGTTTTCAGTACTCCAGCTCTTCTTTATAAGCTCAACCAACAATGTTGTGCCAAAGAGACCCAAATATGGTTGAACCTATAATGATAGGAAGAAATGTTTTATTTTCTTTTAAATTTAGACTTTTATCTCATAAATATTAAAAATACAACATTTGTGTTGGACGTTACTTAAATAGTAAACTAGTTACAACGCTCCCATTAAACATGCAAAGACCTAATTAAACTTGGACTTCTCACAAGATCCGTCGACAAACCTTAGCTTATTTTTGCTCTCAAGGAAACTATCATGGCACGATTCCATATTTCATAATTCTCTGTTCCAGTTAGCTGCTCTAAGTTAAGATTGAACTTGGAGCGTTCGATGGATAATATAGAGAGGAGATCTAGAATCGTTACATTCAACATTCTTGTATCACAGTCTGCATCTTGCTAAAATGGATGAAATTGATGAATGAAGAAAGAAATCGAGATCGAGAATTCAAGGAACAAGATAAGCACAACTTCGAATTTGAGCTGACTTCTTCAATCAGATCGATTCAGCAGTTTAGAATATTGCTCTGACACCATGTTTGATTTTGATTCAAAGAGAAAACGAAGATCAATTTTATTACTTCAGCTTAAAAGCTTAAGAAGAAATACAAATGCTTTATTACAAAATTATACAAACCCAATAACTATGGTCAAGTGAACTATAGTTAAGCTAACTAACTACAACAGTTAACTACTAACTAAGTCACTAACTCCAGCAACTGTATTTACAACTAAACATCAACTATTTACAATAATCCAAGATCTTTCTGTCTCTCTCTTTTTCAGATGTCTAATGCAAGTGATATGGCCACCCGGCTGGATTTGATCCATAAAGTTAAGAGGATAGAGCAAGCAGAAAATTATTTTAATAACGTTCAAATTCAGTTTCAGTTGAGGGGCCATGAGCTTTATGCGTCTCTTCTCAACTGCTATGAGAATGAAAAATCTTTGGAGAAAGCAGAGGCCACCACGCAGGAAATAAGGATTTGGGGTTGGCTAAATATCCTCTGGTTTACAATACTTTGCTCAAGCTTTATTATCAAAAAGAAAATTACGAGAAACTTGACAGTTTGATGCATGAAATGGAAGAAAAAGGCATTGTTGTGACAAAGTTAACATTCGGCATCCATCTTAGTGACTATGCAGCAACTTCTGATGTTAGGATATTTGAAAAAGTGTTTTAAGTTCAGTTGAGTCGAATAAAATCGAATAGGATTTGAATTTGAAAATATAACTGGTAAAATATTTGAAAATTATATTAGAGTTGGATAAATTGTTGAATTTTTTGGTATATATTTTGAAAAAGGATTTTAAGATAGAATATGTGTTTGGTGCATTTTATTATTTGATTATGAAACTTTTTTATTTCAATTTAAATAATATTAAATAGTTTTTGGATAATTTTTTTGTCACTAAATTTAAAACAAATTCTTCGTAATAATTTCAACTACTAATACATCATTTAAAAACTAGAAATTTTGTACATTACAATATCGTAAATTCATAATGCATTAATACATATTTAAATTAATAATCGGAAGCTACTAGTAATCAATCCTAAAAAATCTTCAAGCACCTATATTCCATTAACAACTAGGACATGGATACATGTTTAAACCACATATCAGTAGTTATATTATCCCTGAGAATTGTCATGTTGTCTATATTACGTTGATACGATTGATTCTATCCCTCCCCATTCCCTTCATTTTCTTCCCCGTTTTCCATATCAAAATCTTCATCCTCATAAACTCTATCTTCATTAAACTCTTCAAAGATAATGTCCTGCATATTGAACATTTTGATAAAATTATGAATTATACAACATACCATAACAATTTTAGCTTGTCTCTATAATGAGTACTTATTAATACCTTTAGGAATATAGAACCTATTTTTCAAAACACCAAAGGTTCTCTCTATAACATTATGAAACGATGCATGTTTGTAATTAAACAATTGAAGGGGTCCATTCTGGTTATGACGTCGATTGGCAACATGGTAAAGAACCCGTTTATGCAGGGCAAGGAACCCACCTCTATTCGCATAACTGGCGTCAAGTAAGTAGTATATACCTATAATAAAATACTGAATATTATTTGCTCAATGGCTAAAAAAATGTTTATAGTACGATAAAATACGTAAAGAAGTTATTTATACCTGGAGGAGGATGTGGGAAACTAGAATTAGGATTATCTAGAACTGAATTTAAATTTCTAGAGTCATGGGCAAATCCTTCCCGCTCAGCAATGACATAAGTGAATAACATCTTGAAGTTACATACAACCATCACATTCTATGACAATGTTCCTTTACGATTCCAATACGACTCGAATAACTCAACAAGTGCCCAAGCATGTATGTGTGTATACCATCAATAGCTCCAATACAATTTTGTCGACAAAATTAACTTTTAATAATATGAGAAGACAAACAACATATATAAAACAACAAATATAACTACCAACAAATTAAAGATAATAATGAAATACCTTAAAGAAAATGTAATAGTTTGGTTGGTCGGTATCTCCAATGGAACACCATCAAAGTCGGGTAGTTTGATAAACATTGATATAAACTCACGGATCGCATCACAAACTCTTCCAAAATGTCTAGAGATTGTCTCACCAGAATATTGGTAATCTTCCATGCAAAATCTATTTGTCGCATCTTTCTCCACTGCTGTCAAAAATATCATAACTTGCTCCTAAATACACATGTTCTTGGTTCCTTGCAATTGGTCTTCTTGTACCAATATATTACATAAGGTCTCAAAACATGGTTTGTACATGCGACAATTATCGTACAAAGGATGATCATTTAATAGTTCCAATATATAATCATGACCATTTAATAAAGATGTATGCCAACGTTAACATCCTTGCCTACTGAACTCTATTTCTAATGCAATAACCACACACAATGTGGCTGCAACATCTTCATATACTTCTTCTTCTTCACGTTGATTATTTTAGTTACGGTTTTTACGCCTAGACAACAACATCTATACATATCCAATTGTAACAATTTGTTCATCAATTCATATATTTTGTAGTACTAGCAAAATATAACATTCAATTTTTAAATCTACTTGCAATCTTCAACATCTATGAAACATGTTCTTTCACATTGCACAACAACACATTTTTCATCGGTTCTTACAATAACAAAGCAAATGAAGGGAAAAAAAAAAAAAAAAAAAAAAAAAAGGAAAACCGATTGTCAAAGAGGTAAGTATCAACTAACAAGTAGAAAACATTGGTTCAACAGGTAAGACAAACACTCTCCTCTACAAATTGCAAAAGTCATTATTATCCCAATATGCCCTTTGCTCGAGTGGCAAGTGTACAAATATCTCACGCCACTCTGGCTTGTCAACTAAGACTTCCACAACTGCCATGAATATCTTTGAATCCAGTTGCATATTTGTCAAAAGGTCGATACATTTTGGAATGGAATTTTGATCTGTTCTTTCGCTTGTGTTCTCTTGGGCCCCACCATCTTCACTGTGATATGCTGCCTTAGATGCCAATAGTAATCTCAGTAATAGAGTCCAACAATTTACCAATCACACCCAAAAGCGGGTTTCTCCGAACGCTTTTCTTCTTCGTATCTATGGAACTTCCAAACCCAGACATGTTTGATCTTTTTTCACCAGTTGGTCTATCAAGATCAGGTTCCAACACATCTTCATCAATGTCCACCTCTACAGTGTCGGGCAAAAAAATGATAAAGTCCACTGGTTGAGATACAGATGTGTAAGCAAATCTTCTAGTTACATTTTGCTTGTGGAATATAACTCTTTATCAAAAAGTCCCTTATGTACGAAGTCCTTTGCCCCTAGGTTTTGCTGTTAATGAAAACAAACATACATTAAATTTCATATTCCCCAAAAAAATTCATACTAGTTACCGTGTAATAAACAAAATAAAAATATGCAATTTACCTTTAAATATTCTTGCCAAATCTCTTTAGGACATGTTGGAGTTTGAGACTCATATTCCCAACCGAACCCCGTATGTTGAAGTAGAGCATGCCAAGAGTTATACGCTGATTTCAAGTGAAAATACTTAGAAGATAACTATTTGACTTTAATTTTCTTCCCAAATTTTTCCCATAATTTATCACTAATAATCTTGTAATCTGAAGATTTAATTGAAGAACCATGTGCTCGTTTTGCACGCTCAGCCAACAGAAGTAGAAAATCATGGCTGATTAGAGGATCCCAATGAATGACCTCACTCATCTAATAACAGTAGGGTGAGAACAACAACCAAGATTGAAACATCATAAAAATCAGCATACATATCAATACGAACATATGCTAATTAATACCTTATAAACTAAACAGAGAGAAATTATTACCTCGTTTGACCCAACACTACTTGAAACGGTAAGTACAGGGGATACTACGAGCATAGTAGACCAACAGGGCCTTCGATAGAATCCAAGTACGGCAAAACGTCGAACCGAAAGTAATAATCAATCCTGCAACGGTGGACTGAATTACACCTCCATTTGTTCATAGCAATGTAATTAGTTATTAGGATCAAATTACAATGCCCAATCTACACAATGAATAATGCATATGTTAGACAAGTTGCTATAAAACTTTGATCAAGGTACAAACTAATAAGTAAAATAACCAACATTTATCATCCAGAACTGATGATTGATAAGAATTCTAGTTTCAGAATTTTTTTCTTCCACACTGATCTCCCACCTACTCTTTCCAATTCAATATAATATCCTTCTAATAATACTCACATTTCCTATTCTCTTGTTATACATTCTCCGACATTTTAACTAGCTAACCAATCTAACTCTCCTGATGAAAGGAGAGCAACAGTGATTATTTGAAACAAAGAAAGAAAACGATTTCATACCATTCAATCTTAATCACAGCAACCAAAATTTTGATGGATTGAATTTCACTAAGCAAATCCACCACAGGCCACGCATAAGACAGCAGCAGGCCCAGACCAAAACAAACCAGCACCAGGACAAAGACCAACACAAAACAGGATTGAATTTCACTAAGCAAATCCACTACAGGCCACGCCTAAGACAGCAGCAGGCCCAGACCAAAACTCCACCTCACACCAGCCCACACACCCACGCTCACACCAAGCACCTATCACCCACAACCCAACAACCTGCTGTCTACACAAACAAACCAGCACCAGGACAAAGACCAACAGAAAACTGGATTGAATTTCACTAAGCAAATCCACCGCAGGCCACACATAAGACAGCAGCAGGACCATTTTGCGGCAGCACTGAAGAGGCAGCAGCCAACCCAGATGCAGCTCCGAATACCCCCCACACAAAAGCCACCCACAGTTCTTCCAAAGACCAACACAGCCAGTAAACCAATCCACACCCCAAGGACAACCAAAAAAGGGCAAGGGGAGGGAAAACGCAGGACAACATAAAGCTACCTTAGAAAGGAGAAACAAAAAAACCAGGCAGTAACCAAAAAAAATCCTAAAGGCACACAACACAAAACCAGCTGCAGAAAAAACAAGCCACCAGCCCAGCCACACTAAAAACATGACACCAAAGCAAGCAGCCAAAACAACCCTAGCAGCAGCCAACAACCACCAGACACGCACAAATCAAATCAGCACCAAGCAAACCAGGAGACCAACAGCAGCAAAAGAAAAAGCACACCCCACCATCCAAAGCAACCAAAATCACCAAACCATGCATCATTTGCCACAAACCAAGAAAGGTCTCCACGGCTTACCAACTCCACACACAACCAGCCAACCAGCGCACAAAACTGCAAACAGAACCAACTGCTGCAGACGAGACAGCCCGAGACTTCAAACTCCACCTCACACCAGCCCACACATCCACACTCACACCAAGCACCAATCACCCACAACCCAATAACCTGCTGCCCACACAAACAAACCAGCACCAGCACAAAGACCAACACAAAATACAGAACCTATTTTCACTAAGCAAACAGAATGAGATTTATATAAACAAAAACACTAAACAGAGATCAGACGTGCTTACGGACATGAGGAAGCTGAGCTGAAAGTGAGGAGATCAGAGACATCTAAACCGAAAGAGAGAAGATTGGCCAGATCTGAGCCGAAAATGGGCAAGGTAAGTTGTGTTCACAGAGCTACTTCTTGCTGTGTGGACGGTGCCCACCAAAGCACAGACTCTACTCACCCACTACTGGACTATTCTACAGGGTGGTGAGACTATTCAACTACAAATAGATAAAGAGAGAGAGAGAGAGAGAAAGGGAGAAAGAGAGTTTGTTTCGGCTGGTGAATGAGCGAAGAAGAAGAGAGAGAGAACGAAACAAAAACGAGAGAGACAATGGTTGAATAAGATTAAACAGTTCTGGATTTTAATAGGATTGGATTTTGAAAAACAGGATGTGAATAATGTACCGAACAGGTGTTTTTACTGTTTATATTAAATAGGATAGTAGAATAGGGTTTTAAAAAGTGTACCAAACAGGGGGCATGATATTCGGATTCCTAACTTCTTGATTGACACTTACTGCCGAAAAGGGCTTTTGCAGAAAGCTGAAACTCTTATAAACAGGGCTAAATTGAAGGGGGGAAAGCCTAATGCCTGGACTTGATTCTATATTGTAACAGCGTATCTGAGGGATAATAAAACTGAAAAAGCAGCAGACAGTTTTGAGGAAGCATTAGTTGTTCGTGGTCACCAGTGGAAGCCAAATAAAAAAAGTTGGGCAGCCTCTTTGGAACACTTAAAAGAGAAAGGAGATTTGGAGGGTGCAGAGAAAATTATAAAATTACTCAGGGACAAGGAGATTATCTCTGTGAATGTCCAAGACAGATTGTTGAATAATGTTTGGGTTGGGAAATCAAACTTGGATGCAATCAGCTAGTTCTATGGTGTTTCTTTGTTCAGAAATTCATAAGCACTTTCAGAGCCCTGATGATGATGGGCAGTGTTCGATCATAGAAGAGGTAATATGATGAGTATTTATTTGGAAATTTTCTGAGACAATCTGGAAGCCAATGCTAGATATCCCAATGGTAAAAAAAGCTCAAAGATTTTGGTTTAACGCCTTCTGATGATTGTGATTATATGACATATTTTCCTGTCCTGTTTGGGATAATAATTATAAGCCAGTTCAAGGTTCATCATAGATTGGCAAGAAAGACTATTTGTCACGTGCGTAAGACATTTCAGTTGAATCCTGTATGAAGTATTTGAATTCAACATGAACCTTATTCTTTGATCATTTTCATCAATTTTCTTACTTGCCAAACAAAAATTCATCATTTCCTTTCTTTACCAAACTAACACAACTTAAATTCAAGTAAAAGAATATGGATTCCAATTAAACATCAAGACAAAACCAGTAATTAACATTAGTTAACCAACAAGGCAACAAGACAAGCACGTAATAAATTAACAACAATAAGTTCCTTTTATCACCATCACCACATGCACATCCATTCAATTTTAACATGCATACTAATAAACTTCACCACTCAATATCCAAGATCATAAATATTAATAAAAAGCCACACATGCATGTTTAATCTAATCTCCAGTCGGCATTTTAATGCCTAACTTTCCATCACATTTTAAAGCACAAAACAGTCAATTCTCAAAGCTAACCCAGCCGAACATGCATTGTAATATCCAGCTAACATTTTAATTTAAACACAACCAAATATACTCCAACCTACTGCCCAGCCAGAGTACAGTCCATGAACCACCCCACAAGCATTTCCATTGACACAACCAAGCATAAATTCAACTCATTATCATTTTAGCCGAGGTTTACAAGGTAGAATTTTATCAAATTATAATAAATTGAAACGTGAAGTTTATTAATAACAATAAATGAGATGAAACATTACCAGTGAACCAATGTTTGAAGAAGATTAAAAGATGGATGAAGATGCAGTAGAAGAAGACCATTGTTTGGGTTTGAAAAGAGAAATCAAAGATGTTATTATTCTCTTCTCCCTTGTTCCAGTTGAAGGTTTGACCACCAAAAGCTTCAGTTGTTGGTGAAGCAAGAATCTAAACAAACAAACACAACAAAAAGTCACATAAACATCAAGTTAATAAACTTATTATTCTGTTTACACGATCATATAAAGAAGACTTACATTAGAGAAAAGTACAGGAGAGTCGAAGAGGTCAGTTGGGCTCAAACCAGAAGATGGGATGGATAAGTAAGAAGAAGGAGAAACGGAAAGAGGAGAGACGGGTAATGAAGAAGAAGAAGAAGGATTTGAGAGCGAAATCAACGGGAAAGTGGAACACAGGAGATTGGCAGCAGCTAATTTGAAGAAGGAAGATTCAACTGATCGCCCCAATTCCCAAAACCTAATTCCTAATTAGAGTGGGCGGTTACGAGTACGATTTTTTATGGGGAATCGAACCGTATAATGCAAGTTCAAAAAAAAGAAACCTGAACCTTACGGTTCCAGTTTTTAAATTTAAGGAATTGGAAGCTGAAATGCAGCTACCAGGTTTTTATTATCTTATAAAAAATCAATTATCTTCTATTAGTTTAAAAAGGGGGGACTTTTCTCCATCCAAGGTTTAGCAAAACGATACTTTTCCATTCACTAAGTTTCAAAATGACACTTGCCACAAAAATTAAAAAAATTAAAAATTTGAAATCATGGTGAGTGTGGCTGAATGGTTGCCATGTCCCACTGAAGTTTGACTTTGAAAAAACAAAAAAGAAAGGAGAACGAAGAGTTGGCTGCCTTTTCTGCTCATTCTCTGGTAACTCTTCCTGCTCTCTAGATCTGAAGTGAGAGGCGACCTAGGGTTTTTTGTCATGCGATCACCACATCACTTCATCATCCCCAGTAAGGATACACCCATTGGCTTCTTTTCCATCTTTGGCCGACCTATTGCCGACAAGGACGTAGCAAAGATAGCGGCTTTCTATTTTGGTGTCTTGTCGGGCTGAGATAGTTCTTGTGTTGTTGATTGATAATGGCAGTGATTTGAATGCAGGAAAATTCCAGCAACTGGCGACTTAGGGATGGCGACTAACAAAAAACCAGTTGTGGGTTCTTCGTGTTATATGATACTAAGCGATTAGGGACTCTGAGACGACTGAGGAAAAAAAAAAGGTGAGAAAGCAGCGAGCGAGAGAAAAATACCGACGACGACAACAACTTGGGTAATCTTTTTCTGTCGTTTATTTTTTTTTTTTTAGGTTAAGAAAAGTTGTTTGTTTTTTGTATTGTTCTTGTCTTGTATTAAACATTTGCTCTTTATGAACTATTGCACCATTACATAATGGAATTACAGAAATGAAAATTTTTGTAAAACATCAATTTGGCAGAGTCAGATTACACTCTAATTTAAAGGAAGTCCTGTTGAATTTCATCTCATATCCTTCACTATCACAAACTTGCAGATTGATAAAGTGAAAACGATGTAGCTACTTTAAGGATGAATAATTAGAAGGTGGGGCTCTTGAATTGCTTTAGTTTTCAAGGACCAACATGCTGAGTCATAATTGTACCTGAAATTAAGAAGAATTAGTACTTGCTCCTTGAATAATAATGTATAAATATCAGTTGGCTTGCTGACTGATGTAAGTTTTTTGTTGTTGAATCCCCATTATTGAAGGAAAGGAGTTAGATTTGCGATGGCTCTTTGTGGAGGTTACTTCTCGTGGTGGTTAAAGCTTTTATTTTGTTTCATCCTTCTTAATAAATTTGATGTCTGAGGTTTGCTCTTTGTGTTTTGGTTGTGCACCTTGTTTTGCTCAATGAATTGTCCTTATTTAAAAGACATGGCCAACCACACTTTCTATGCAAATTTCTTGAAAGTAACTAAAATATTATAGGATGGTATATTTTTCTACGTAAGGTATTGATTCCAACTATGATTTCAAATGTAGAGTTCATGTTAGAAAGATGGAAACATCATGAAGGCAAGGAGATTGAAGTATCACAGGAATTTACGGTTTTGATAGCATAAATTATTTTCAGGACAGCTTTTGGAAGCAGATCTTAGAAGGAGAAAAAATATTTACTATGTTCACAAGGTTGGGTGTAATGTAATCAACGCCAGAAATCATTATAAAATTTAAGCACCTTATTTGATAAGGCAAAGCTTCCTCTTCGTAATTTCTGTAATTTGTGGCTACTTAGTTTTATACTTTTGCTTCTCTATTAATTTTACAATACCATTTGTTGTCTTGGCATAAAGTTTGTGGAAATCTGTTTTGTTTGAATTGAATTCCCTATTTTTATTGGGTTTCAATGGGCAAAATTTCTTATAATTCTCTATTAATTCTATTATAATTTTACAATCTGGATTCTTATTTTTCAAATATTAGTAGTGTTTAAATTATCAAAATTCAAATATTTAAATATTAATGCCAGTTTTAAGGGTTCTAAATTTTAAAAAATCCACTGGTAACTTCATTTAAAACATTATTTTTAATAAAAAAATTGGAAGGACAAATTGGTAATTTATATTCTCTTATATAATTGAAGACATTGCAGTAATTTTATAGTAACAATGGGTATATTGGTAATTGAATTGTTGACATGATATAGATAATAAAAAAATTATTAAGTCAACTATTAAGGGTATTTTGTCTTTTCAATCGAATAGTAACGGCCAACAATATAACGGAGGGTGGGAAAGTGTCATTTTGAAACTTGACGGGTGGAAAAGTATCGTTTCACTAAACCTTGGGTGGGAAAATGTTGTTCTCCCTTTAAAAAATGATGAACTTACCTTAAAAGTTTATAATTAGAACCCTAACAAATTAAGAAAACTTACATGTAATAATTTTCAACTCTTGATTACTCATGCATTTGTGTCCAATGTGACTCATAAATCCTATGGTCTATAGGCAACACTTGAATTCAATCAATTCATCACAATTCATATAAAATTTATCAATCAAAACCAAAATACAAATAGGTTCTAAGCAAGATACTCGCTTTAGGTTCTTTTTCCAAGTTCCAATTCCGATTTTGGTTCCGAAACCTGTAAGAACCGGAATCGAAACCGTATAATGTCGGTTCCAATAAAATGGAACCGAAACCTACCCGCACAGTATCAATTCTGGGTAGGTTCAGGTTCCGATTCTACCCGTAGGTTTCGGTCCTGCCCGCTACCCTCATCCTTATTCCTAATTCAGTAAACAAAATTACATAATACTCCCCACAATTTAAAAAAAAAAATATTACCCCAAGTTCTCACCCGGTACACGAATCCAAGGTCTAGGTCCGAGTCCAATTCCTAAATTGGTGGATCTGAACTCGAAGTCGACAGATGGGTACCTGTCAGTTCCAATTCTACCCTTGACCCATGCTCATCCTCACTCGATGCCGCTAACTCTTGAAAATATAAAAAGAACAACACTACAACATATACAAAGTTTTCGTAAAAATAAATAAATATACTACACTGCTATTTTTGAAACTATCCGTGTTCCTCTACAATTACATAAAAAATATGGGCTTTACTGTAATTATTCCTAAAAATAAAAATAAAATTAATTAAAAAAAAACCCAAAACCCTTAAACCCTTCTATTGTCTTCACTCTTGAGCTCTTCATTTCTTTCTCTTTCTTTGTAATTTTTTCCTGCAAATGAAGTTTGTAAGCTCGCGTACAATCCTTGAAAGCGTCAAACTTCAGCTCCGACTTAGAAATGTTTCGAGAATTTCATCATTCTCAACCGCAACACGAAACCTCACAACAGAAAGGAGAAGCACGAACCCGGACTCAAACTCAATGTGCGGTCTGTTCCGTCGTATCACGCCGCTGGGAGATCCAACGGTCTCCATTGTTCCCTTGCTCGATCAATGGGTCCAAGAAGGACGAACCGTAGAGAAAGAACAGCTCCAACTCTTCATCGAAGAGCTGCGATCCTTCAGACGATTCACTCACGCTCTTCAGGTATTAACAAATTAATTATATTTTAAATTAAATAATTTCAATTTTTAGGAATTATTTCGCGCCTTGTTAATTAATTTTAGGAGTTAATTAATTAACTAATTCTATATATATATATATATATATATATTAGTTTTCGCGTCACAGATCACACTGTCCATAGTTTCATGGAATGTGTCATAAATTGTTTAATGAAGCTTGAAGTTGTTTGAATTAAAATTTTGTTCTTGATTTGTTTAAAACATGTGTTGAATTTATCAGTTTTAAAATTCGCTGTAAAGTAGGAAATTATGAAAATCTTCTTGAACGTCTCCTAAAATTCGTTTATTTTCTAGATTATACGGATTTGCATGTAAGTGACCGGGCCTTGAGGGAGGTGAATGAGTAGGTTTGGTAGCTTAGTTTTGTTAATTTCGTTTGTCAATAGCTATTTTTAAAATGGAGCCGTGAAGAAAATTTTGATTCCGTTTGAAAACGTGGCATTGTCTGGGTGTGGTGGAAGATGATGGCTCAAAATATTTTTAAAATGTTGATTTGGCATTAGTAAGTTCATCCTTGCACTCCATTAGTTTTGCGTTTTGAGAGAAGTTTCATGCATTTTGTTTTGTGCCAAATTTGTATGTTTCCTAGTAGAAAATTAAGATATTTTTTCCAAACAAATTCTGATGAATTGGGTTAAAATTTTTATCTGCCTATGACAGGTGAATCAGTAAAATAATATATAGATTCCTTTAAGAAAATGAGAAGGGATTGGATTGGGCTTGCTATTAAACTTCTTCGAGTTTTTGGAACACATATCACTTAATCTTTCACTTCTAGGCTTATTAGTGCAATTCTTATCCTTGGAACTTGCATTAGGTTCAGTTGATTATTATATCTTTTTGCCCCTTGTCTAACTTGTAATTTTATAGCTGCAATTGATTCATGAGCTTTTTGTTGCTCTTGGTTCTCCATATTTTACCAAGGAATTGATATATTGAGCTACTACAAGTCAATGGCTGTGTTTTCACCCTGAATTTTCTCGAATAAACTGATATATTCAAATTTTAATTTTCTATGTATAGAGTTTAAGGGATCATAAAATTTTTGACCTACCATATATTGGACCCGGAGTTGTAGTTGTGATGTTGATTTGAAGTTATCTGTAAAGATGCTTAGCCTTTATATGATTACTTCATTTTAGTCACTTCATTGTTTTAGTGTCTCACTAAGATATCTCTTTGTCTCTCTACACCAGATTTCTATGTGGATGACTGACAAAAGATACTTACCACTTACATCTGCTGATGTTGCCATTCGGTTGGATTTGATCTCTAAAGTTCATGGGCTAGAACGAGCAGAAAACTATTTTAATAATGTTGCAAAACAATTAAGGAGGTTTGCTGCTTATTCTACTCTTCTTAACTGCTATGCCAATGCAAAATCTGTGGAAAAAGCAGAGGCCACCATGCAGGAAATGAGTGATTTGGGATTGTCTCCCAGAACACCATCGGTTTACAATTCTATGCTTAATCTTTATTATCAGACCGGAAATTACGAGAAACTTGACAGTCTGATGCGTGAAATGGAAGAAAAAGGCATTGGTTATGACAAAATAACATGTAGCATCCGTCTAAGTGCCTGTGCAGCTGCTTCTGATGTTGAGGGAATTGACAATATTGTAAACTTGATGGAATCAAATCCCACTGTTCTCTTAGACTGGGAAATTTATAGTACTGCAGCTAGTGGGTATGCAAAAGCTGGGTTTTTGGACAAGTCTTTTCAAATGCTGAAGAAATCTGAGGGACTAATATCGGGTAAAAGTCACACTGAAGCTGCTAAAGCATACCATTTTCTTATAACACAGTATGCAACAAATGGGCAGAAAGATGAAGTTTTAAGACTTTGGGAAATCTACAAGAAGAATGTTACTATTTACAATAGAGGCTATATATCTGTCATAAAATCTATGTTAAAATTTGATGACCTGGAGACTGCCGAGAAGATTTTTGAGGATTGGGACTCGCAGAGTTTAAGCAATGATATCCGGATTCCAAACTTCTTGATTGGTTCTTACTGTAGAAAAGGCCTTTTGCATAAGGCTGAATCTCTTATAAGCAAGGTAAAATTGAAGGGGGAGAAGCCAAATTGTAAGACATGGTTTTATATGGCAACAGGATATCTTAAGAATAATCAAACTCTAGAGGCAGTGGAGGCGATGAAAGAAGCGTTGGTGGTTTGTCGAAACAAGTGGAAGCCAAGTAAGGAACATTTGGTGAGCTCTTTGACATTCTTAAACAATGGAGTAGAAAACATAGTGGGAGTCGAGAAATTTATAAATTTGCTCAGAGAAAAGGACATTATCTCAGAGGATCTCCAAGGAAAATGGTTGAATACTGTCCAGAGTGGGAAGTTGAACTTCGACGAACTCGGTAAGTTTTATGGTGATGCTTTGATTGATGATGCAGAAGCACTTTCAGTAAAAGAACAGGAAACATGTTGAATACGAATTTGAAACAAATTTAAACTTTCTGGAGCTGATGCTTCATACAATACTAGTTTTCTAATTTATATTGTTAGATAGATTATCTGGAGATGATAATTTTGATGCAAATATTGTCATAAAATACGTCCAATAATTATCCGGTCATTGGATTATGACACTTGCAACCGATTTTCAACGATTGGCAATTATAATTGTTTATAATCACTTTAAAATTAATAAATTGCAAGTTTCATTAATCGTTAATTTGTTATCGTGTAAAATTTATATTTATTATTGAATAAAGGGATTTTTAGGTAATTTGGATCATGAATTTGTTAAAAATTAAGAGTGATGATGCCATTGCCTCCACATTTGATCTTAATAGACACCTGTTTCTCTTATAATAATATTACTCTTCTCAAAACTTATCCCAAATTTCATATATTTCCAAGTGATGTGTTGTCATATATGACATTAACGCATAAATAATGTGATGATGCACTGAATGATATGACAACACGTTATTTGGGATATGAAACTTGTAAAAGTTTTTGGCTGGGGTGCATAGTTCTTATCTTCGCGTTGTGGCATGTCAAATTCAGGCTTGGGTCCATAAGCGTTGTCTTCGGATTGTGACTTGTAAGCTTTAGGCTTGAGTGCAGAGGCGTTGTCTTTGGGTTGTGGCTTGTAAGCTTCAGGCTTGGGTGCATGGGCGTTGTCTTCGGGTTGTGGCTTGTAAGCTTTAATAACAATATGACTTGTCTTTGTTTTTTGACTTCGATTTATTATAGTCTGACATGATATTCAAATTTTGATTTA